TCCCAGATATTCTGTTATTATTATTTGTTGTGTTATAAGAGCATTTCTATGTTCCGGGTGGTTGTTGCTGTGCTGTGTGTACTGCTGACATCGCCTCCTCTACCTGCTCCGTGTAGATTGTCAGTTCCTCTGTACAGGGATCCCATGCCGGGATCTATGCGTGTTACATTGTCGTTGTTACACCCCCCTCTACCCTCCTTAACGGCGTTACCTTTCGTACGGGATTAGATTGTCAGTTCCTTTGTACAAGGTTCCCATGCCGGGATCTATGCGTGTTACATTGTCGTTGTTACACCCCCCTCTACCCTCCTTGTTGGTGCTACAATAAAAAAACCGATGTTAGATTGTCAGTTCCTCGGTACAGGGTTCCCTATGCACGTTCCCAGTCGCGTTACATTGTTATTGTTGCACACCCCCCCCTCGCCCCCGTGTACTCCTTGTGGGTGCGAGGTTAAAAATACTACGTTACCCTTTGTATCAGTTTAGATTGTAAGCTCTTCCGAACACAGTTCTTGATCCTATTGTGTCATGCGTTTGTGTGCTTCAGCCCCTGCGTGTCCGCACTCCTGTGCCGGGATATAAAGTAATAATCATCATTTTATCTATCGGAGAGAAGTTTTGTGTTGTAGTTTGTTGGCACTTTATAATAAAGGTCAGATTTATATTAGTAGATTGTAGTGCAGAGACTGTGGGGGAGGGGACATTAGAGTGTAAGCTCCTCTGTACAGAGACTGATGCGACTGTGGGGGGACATTAGAGTGTAAGCTCCTCTGTACAGAGACTGATGCGACTGTGGGGGAGGGGGCATTAGAGTGTAAGCTCCTCTGTACAGAGACTGATGTGGCTGACTCAGTGTTCTCTGTACAGCGCTGTGGTATATGTCAGAGCTATATAATACAAGCAATAGTAACAATATATCCGATTTATAAGGAGGTTAGACTCACTCTTGTTACATTGGTTTCAGCACATGCACATACGTGTCCGTGTGTCTCTATCACATATGTACACACACATATATTTTCAGTGACACTATGTACATAAAAACAGAGCAATACAAACTTTATGTGTTGTTAGTAAACAGAGGAGCTTGGCGAATTCGCATCGCGACCCTTTCTGGGAATACTTCACTCGTCATATGACAAATAATTCCGATTTAACTTAACTCTGCTCAGCTTTTTATGAACCCTTCCCCCGCCAGACCCGTCCGATATCACTGATCTGAACTATTTTTACAGCGAGCTGGTTCAGCCAGCAAGAGTCAGTAGCGCTGTGTGCGTGTCCAGGGAGGTTAATGTGTGAGTACAAATATAATACTAAAGCCGTCCGTCAGGATCCAGAACATCCGCCATTGTTTATAAATAAAAGATTCGCATGAATAATGATGTTCAGTGTGACACTTTGTTACATTTATGTGTACAATCATCCGACCCAGAAATGTACACAATGTGACACTGTGTGTGGAGGAGGACTCGGCTCCAACTCCTAGAAGTCCATGTGTGGCGCTTCATGAGAGGCCGCTGGTCACTTGGCCGGCGGGTTTGGTCGATGACCGCCACTGCGAGCGCCGCTATCTCCGTTTACTTCTGATAAGACAAAATGTGCAATATCTGGGGAGCTGCGCCTCTGTAGCGGTTTCTGTGCCAGTGTGTGTATATCAGTGTGTGTATATCAGTGTGTGTATCTGTGTGTAGATCAGTGTGTGTATCAGTCTATATGTATATCAGTGTGTGTGTATCAGTGTGTGTGTGTGTGTATATGTGTGTGTGTATCAGTCTATATGTATATCAGTGTGTGTGTGTATCAGTGTGTGTGTATCAATGTGTGTGTGTGTGTGTGTGTGTGTGTGTGTGTATCAGTTTACATGTATATCAGTGTGTGTGTATCAATGTGTGTGTGTGTGTGTGTGTGTGTGTGTGTGTGTATCAGTTTACATGTATATCAGTGTGTGTGTATCAATGTGTGTGTGTGTATATCAGTGTGTGTGTGTGTGTATATCAGTGTGTGTGTGTGTGTATATCAGTGTGTGTGTGTGTATCAGTGTGTGTTTGTGCACGTGTATCAGTGTATATGTGTGTGTCTGTGTATCAGTGTGCGTTGGTTTTTATATGTGACTAAAACTTAATTGTGATCTTTGAAAGATCTTCCAGAGTTTGTGAAAAAGAATCCAAAAGATTAAAATCTTTCATTGAATTTTAGATACATTGTTTGCTCTGTGTATATCTCTGACATATACCGCAGTGCTGTACATACAGTCACACACTACTATTATACATGTATATAGCTCTGACATATACCGCAGCGCTGTACAGAGAGCACCTCAGTCTCTGCCCCAGTCACTAGTTCCTGTCTGTCAGCAGCTGTAATACTACAACCACCTTAGATGTGGCGATGACTGTGGTTCCCGGATGACCTCACTGGAAATGGAATGAATTGTGTAGCTCGGTCCTCCTATTATATCGTTTTTAGTAAGTTGATTGGAATTTATGTGATTGGCACATGTGGGGCCCAATCTGAATTGTACAATCAGATTGGCACATGTGCGGCCAGCTCGGTCTGTGAGCTTCCATAGAGACTGTTATCAGAATTTCACGTCTGGAAGGAACGAGAAGGACGACCCCCAGAAAGACGATCCCGACCCCCATAAAGTCGCCATGATAACATATTGTCATCGGATTAGAATGAGAAGACATCGGCGGTCGTTCAGGAAGTGCTGCGCGTCACGCTATAGATTCCCCGAGAACGGAGCGATCTGTTCAATAGTCAGTGAGAGGAAAGGACGGCTCCACCTTGACGCCAGCAGATCATTCAATTTGCTGATTACGCTGCAGAGAAAATGAGACGTTTCCTCCGTATAAATCACGGGAATAATTCCATCTGTCCGAGCTTTTCATTTTACATCCTAATTTCCCGATCGATGAGAAGATTCTTATTGTGATGAATGAGCGGCAGAGCTGGAAGTGTGCGCTGTATT